CACCCGTTCCCGTGTTGTAAAGACTGTGATCTTACTTGATGTGATCCAGCCAGTGTGTGCCCTCCAGCGCAGACAGCCATTTCTCATCAGGCACCGTGATGGACGCGGAAATATCTGGAGCCAGGAGAAAGAGCAGGGAGTCAGTTTGACGAAGTCTGGGATTGTCATGAGGATGAGCCCGGAAGGGATTCTAGGCCTAATTATAACAGAGTTGCTGTTTTGAGGGGGGATGTTGAAAACAGGGTGCTGCACATCGTCGTGGAGACCAGCACTGGAGCAGTACCCAACTATACACACAAAGCTTTCCATGTTGACGTCCGACTTCGGGTTCATATGTTAAAAAATAATCAGATTCAAATCTGAACATATAAACAAAAACAGAAGTCTGACAAATATAACATCGTAGGAAAAAGCCAGATTTTTTTTTTTGTGGGGAAAAGTCGATGATCATAGTGGCTTCCTTCTTCATTAAACATACGGAATATTGTAATGACAGTCAACACTGTCAATCAAAAACATATTTAACCAGTTAATCTGGGTACTTTTGCATACTAAGAATCCAATGGTCCTCTTGTGCTACATCAAAAATGCTCAGTTCCTCAAACTGGGCCTTAAACAAAAGCAGACCCCGAGCTGAGTTTGAAAACCGAAAGAAAAATATTTATTTCAACAGAAATATAAAACATCCATTTTTTTAACGGGTTTTTCTTCAAAGTTTCTGGCACACTTAAAGAAATGTATTTCTCATGTTCAAATCTCTTGAACAAATATCGCCGGCAGGTTAGGATTCCATATTCAATTAAGAATATAAATAGAAAACGGCCAAAGCAGAAACAGCTGGGACACTCACAGTGGGGTAGAAAACGGACAGCAGCAATGAGAAACGATGAGAAAACCAAACTTCGCAAACTCATGTCAAAGTGCCTGAAACTGGCACTTGCCATGCAACTGAGGTACCAGCTATGGCGCCTACCTCCAAGGCAGAGAGCTCGGAGCCGGGTGTGTGCCAGCTGGACGTCCAGGGGCACGGGCATGTCCTCGCCCAGGTCCACCACCACACACTGCTGCTGCCTGCCGAACAGCATGGCCTCCAGGTTCCTAAGGCCGGGCACAGAAATGGCAAAACAGGAAAGAGGGATGAGCACCTGACCTCTGTTTATACCCCTCTGCAGTGTACAGACAGAGCGGAGTCAGTTTCACGAGTCCTGGATGTGAGAGCGCACATTACAAAGGCTCGGAGTGAAACTACAAGCTACTGAGTCACAGAAACAGCGGGAACTCTGCTTTTCCATGTCATCTGGCAGGACAGAGCACAAGGAAGAAGGGTGGCCCATGCAGAACCAGGAATCTCTTGTACAAGGTCCTGCATCATAACCACTGCACCACCCAGCCTCCTGTTTTCAGTCACATACGTCTCACATGCATTCTGCACTAGGACAATAATCTGAGGAGCAGTTTATTCCAGGGTAATTAGGGTTAGACTGTAATTGTATTAAATAAAGGACAGTCGGGAACTCTCAGGTAACAGTAATAATAATAATAATCGCTTACACTTATATAGCGCTTTTCTGGACACTCCACTCAAAGCGCTTTATAGGTAATGGGGATCCCCTCCACCACCACCAGTGTGTACCCCCACCTGGATGATGCGACAGCAGCCATAGTGCGCTATAAAATTTGATTTTATATTATAATCAATTTATAGGGGTTACACCCCTACTCTTTCGAGAAACGCCCTGGGATTCTTTTTAATAACAAAAAAGAGTCAGGACCTCAGTTTTACGTCTCATCTGAAGGACGGCGCCTGTTTACAGTACAGTGTCCCCGTCACTATGCTGGAGCATTAGGACCCACATGGACTGTGGGGTCAGTGCCCCTGCTGGCCCCACTAACACCTCTTCCAGCAGCAACCTTAGTTACATAAGGTAGTGAGTAGCAAGTTACATAAGGTAAGCTTATACAGAAAATGCAAGATAAAGCTCATACAATAAATTGCATAGCGAAGCAAAAAGACTCTGTGAGATACAGTTTCAGTAGGCCCAGGTACAGTAAATAAGGTGAAGGATTATAATGCACTGTGCTGCAGTAGCTGGTATACATTGCAACAGCACCCGTAAAAGATAAACAGGGGTTTGTAGCGTGAGATTCGGCATTTGTGTGTGGGATCTAATAGTACAATGCAGGTGATCATAAATTGAGGTTTCAGGGCAGGGAAGCCGAGCTCAAGATGTAGAGGCATAGTCCAAAAAGGATAGCCTCTAGACCCGCAGTGAACTCCTCTTTCAGAAACAGAAAAGGCCACATTTGTCTCTAAGAGTACCTCAGCTTTAGGAGGGATTTCTATCAATTTATTGTGGGACAGCAGTACTGGACTTATTTCAGTCATAGTAACATTTACATTCATTCCTCCACTTTGCAATTTGAAGCAGTTTCACAGAACCAAATTCACACAAATTTTGGACTATCTAACTGTTAATTTAGGTAAGTGAGTCTCTAAATCTTACTGGTTCTGTGATGAGAGTCCTATAAGCACCAGTAGCACCAGTATACAGGGTTGATTCATATCATTCGAGGACGCTTTCAGCCACAACACACTGTTTTGACTTTCTCCACTTTTCAGCGTGGAATTACAGTGCCCCCTTTTGATGAATTACAAATGATACATACACATGTTTTGTAAATATTTTAATCACAACTCTAAATTCTTAACTGAGCATTTTGGGGGGTTAGTCTTTGGGTTGGAAGAAGATAATTGGCACCAAAAACAAGTATATGCATTCACCCTCTTGAACACCTTATTTAAAAGGAAACACATTTGACAACAGATACAGCTATTGAGTTGTTTTTTTTTTTTCGCATGAGTTTAGCTAATCTTTTTATCTATTCTTTTCAAACTTGCTCCAGCTCTGTCAGATTTGTTTTGACAGTAATGTTTAGGTCTTGCCACATATTTTGTTGAATCGAAGTCAGAGCTTTGCTGGGCTGCTCAAGCACTGTCTTATTGTTAAGTCACTCCAGTGTCGCCTTAATCTTGTGTTTTGGATCACTGTCCTGCTGAGAGATGAAGTTTCATCCTAGTATTAAGTGTTTAGCAGACTGCAGTGTGTTTTCTGCTATAGCACGTCCACAATTTGCTCCAAACATTTCCCCCTCGGTCCAGACAGGCTTCCCTGTCCCTGCTGCCCAATACCATACAGTAATGCTGCCACTACCTTGCTTGACAGTAAGGAAGGAGTTGATTGGGTGATTGCTGTGTTGAGTTTGAGCCAGACTATTTGCATGCACACCCAAAAGTTCACATTTTTGTCTTGTCTGACCACACAACACTTTGCCACGTTTCCAGTATTGCTTAATACTTTGTTTCAAACTCCATGCAGAATTTGTGGCTCATGATCTGCACCTGTGGCTGGAAGGTTGCCAGTTCAAATCCCACAGCTGGCAAAGGAATCCTACTCCATTGGGCCCCTGAGCAAGGCCCTTCACCCCAACTGCTCCAAGGGTGCTATATAAATGGTGGTCTGACTCCAAGCTTCTCTCTCTGTCTGTGTGTCTCATGGAGAGCAAGCTGGGGTCTGAGAAAAGACAAATTCCTAATGCAAGAAATTGTATATGGCCAATAAAATGATCTTATCTTATCTCTTAATTTAGTAAGACTTAGTTCTCACTTTAAAATGCCTGGCAATGGTCATAAACAGGCAACTTGAGTGTTTGAGTAGACATTGCACAGCCCAGTTGTAGGAGAGATGAGGAGTTACCTGGGTGAAACACAGATTTTGTAGACTTTTCTTAGTATTATTCCAGCCACTGTTCATCTCCCATCACCTCACATTCATTTAACAGATCTACAAAATGTCTGTATTGTCCGAATCTGTGCCCTACATTTATATTTCATAAAACTGATAAAACCTAAAAACAAAGCAAGCTATGTAAAAAAGTGAAATACAGAAACGTGATACAAAGGTTTGGGAAGCATGAGCAATCTGTCACCATGAAGTCTCTAGCAAAATACTGTGAGTAATAGCAAGCAAACCACAAGTTTGATAAGTTCTGCCAAAACAAACTAAATGCATTCTGGAGTCCCATATTCAGAGACTCTGCTTTACTGGACAATGAAGACACCACACAGACCTTCAGGAGCACAACTACAGGAACGCGTTTTTCTTAACTCCTTCTTCCAGTGGATGAAGCCATTATTCACAGGAAGACATGCTTTCTTATTGTGTTACATCAAGGTGTAATTTCAAGTTATTTAAGAAACAAACGGGAAACATCCACCTTAACACTAAAAAAAGAAATCGGTTAAATTAATAATTTAATCAGCAATTTATGATCAGCTGAAAAATTTGTAACGTCCGTTGGGAGACTTTAAAATTAATGGCATTGCAAAGGCTGCGTGAGAATGAAAGAGCTGAAGATAGCTGCTCAGTTCAGATGTGTTTGTGGGCACCTGACTCCTGCCTTTTCTACACTGTTCACCAGCCATCACTAGAGCAGTCTTCTCTTCAGCATCCCCTTATTAACTAAAAATAATTCATAGTAGGCTGGCATGGTATTGGCAATGGTAAGCATTTCTGCTTCACAGCTCTGTGAGGCTCTGGGTTCAATTCTCATGCTGCAATCTGTGTGGAGTTTGTATGCTCTGCTAGTGTTTGGCTGTGTTTCCTCTGGGTGACCTGGTTTCCTCTCACAGTCCAAAGACATACTAGTAGGATAACTGGCTTCTGGGAAAACTGGCCCTGGTGTGAGTGTGCGTGTGTGTCTATATGTGCTCAGTGATGGCCTGCTGCACCTTGCCTCGTGCCCATTGCTTGCTGGGATAGGCTCTGGCTCCCCCGCAACCCTGAATCGGATAAAGCAGTTAGGGAATGGATGGGTGGGTTAGTTTGGGTTGTGGCAGCAACTTGCATAATCATGGATGACCTGTTAGATTTCATACTCTTTTCACATTAACCATGAGATGAATTCAGGGCTTTGATATTCCCACAAACCATCTACGAGCCAAGTACTGTACTTGATTTCCTTGGTTTGCAAACTGCTCATGGCTTCTGCCGGCTGGGAGCCGACAGAGACTCCTAACCCTTCCTTAGTCCTGGATGCCCCACGACCCACCTGATGTCATCCTTCTCGTGGTAGATGTTGTTCTGGAAGCTGGCCATCCGGAGCAGGTCGCTGCCCAAAGGGTGGTGCCAACACCAGCGCTGTCAGAGAGACGCCAGTTTATTCTACTTGAAACGGAGCCATAAAAATGAAACAGGTCAAGTGCACTGCAGCCTACAGATACTGTACATTTACAGCCGCCACCACTTCAGCCTGTACTACTTTTAGTTGCAAATCCTGAGTGGATCTAGAACTCCGCATTTGAAGCCTGAAGAAATTTTAGTGAATGTTATTTGTTAAACGCAAAATCAAAGTAAATTTCTTAAATTACCAGAACAGTGAAGAACAGGAAGTTAATATCGAAATACAGTATTTCCACTTTTTGAAAATACTTAGCTCGGCCATACTAAGATAACAGTTTTGACTAAGACAATATGTAAACAAACATCCAGCACAGAGCAAGCACGAACCCAACAGTCTTCCATTCAAGATGGAAGGGCCATTTAAATACATGAATCCATTCACAGTTAGCGAACAAACACCACTCACAGGAATCCTGCCTTCACTGAAGTGAGCAAATGTTTTTTTGAGCTCTGTGTCCAGGATCTTTTGCGGGACAACATTAAACCTTGGCAGACTGATTTGGAAAGAAAAAAGGAAAGAAAAATGAAACATTGTGGTACATGCAATGAGGACATTGTAACCTGGTGTGCAGCACATGACACAACACAACACTGAGGACAGAGGTGACAAACACACCAAACTCTGTGAGCTTGGACTTGAGCAGAAATCCATGCAAAAGACTGGCATTTACACTGTAGATGTCAATTTTAAGTCCCCAAAGGACTGTGGTTATATAGGACCTAAGCCTGCTAAGCCTGCCTTAAAAGTTGCACTGTTTCAAGTGCACATCTGTGTGCAAGGAGGCTGACTAGTCTTTCGGTTTCAAGAAGAATGATGCAAATCATTTTGCACAGCAACATGACTGTAATCAGGTTTATCTGACCTGCAGGCTCTTGTCCAAACTATCCTGATGAAGCAGAAAAATCAACTCAAAATCCTTACATACCTTTACTTTCACTCCATGTGTGGATCTGTGCAGTTTTCCCATAAATAACAAGCAGAGAGCAATAACAAGAACCTGGTGACTGGCTGTCTTACAAGGGCCTGCAGCTAAGAAAATGTATTTTCGTCCCTGAATCAAGTGAATGGAATTTCCTTAGTTCTGCTTCCAAGCGAAAAACACAGCTGCTGGGGAGGACTGGCTCTGAAAGGTCAAAGGTCAAAAGGACATGCCTGGTAGCCATTTCGAAGCGGTCATTCACGGCAGTGACCCTCCAGCTGGTGGCACCCGTCCTCTCCAGCTCTCTCTCCCAGTCCCGAGCTCCCTCGAACCAGTTCATCTGGGGGTCTCTCTGGCGGTTACTGAGGAACTGCTTCATCTCTGTGAGACAACAGCATGAGTGAAGTTGTCTGCACCCTGTACCTCAAATAAGCCATCATTCCTGTCACTGGCTGAACACCTGGCTCCATGATCTCCAGAGGACTGCAGAATCAAAGACAGGTCTGCTCAGCTTGCAAACCCTCCACTCCACTACACAACTGTGGAACAAGAGTTCCTTGATTATTTAATTGACCATAAGAAGGATTTATAAAGCAATAAAGGAGCTGGTTACTTTGAAGTACTGCAATGGAGCAGAATGGAAGGGCCACAAATTCAGTAGCGCTAATCTAAGACAAGGAGGATCAGCTTTCCCTTTCAGGAGAGAAGATTCATCTTACTTGCAGTCCTGGTCACAAAGAAAGCAGAACATCAGAACAAGAGAAAGGTAACAAACCAGTAGATCATTGATCCAAGGATCACATCTAGCTGTTTCCCTGACTTCATCCACAGGGCTGGATAGCTTGTTCCATACTACTGCAACCCTTTGGGTAAAGGAGTTATTCTTGCTTTAAAAAGCACTTCCGTGTAGTTTCCACTTGGTTTGTGTTTCACTGTGTAATTCTGAAGAAGTCCACTGGGTGGACTTTGTTAATGGCTTTAGGGGTTTTGAATACATGTATCACATTGCTTAATAGTCTTCTCTTCTTCTCTTTTCAAAGGGTTCCGATCTTTTGACCATCTGTGCAGGACATTCCTTTAAGTCCTCTACGCCCCCTGATTCCAGAGCAGCAATTCTTTTCTATAAAGTTGTAACTAAAATTGTACATAATATTTAATTTTACTCTTTTTACTACAGGTATAAAGCTTAACATTTTGTTTGCATTTTTTATTGTTTCAGCATATTTCAAATCTCTCTCATAAGAAGGCTCTTCTAGCTCAGCGTTTCCCATTTTGCATTTATCGTTTATGAATCTCTTTTGTTTTGAACAGAAGAGACTACAAGGAACTTGACACAAGTATTTAACATCCAGAGAGCTATTAACAAAGTCATCCTCCTTCGAGACTACGTCAGGGCCGGCACTGTACCTATGACCCAAGGACAGGGCTGGAAACTAAGTGGAGGCACTTTAGAGCTGAAATCAGGAATCATGTGTCTGAAAAACTGCCCTGGGGTCCTGAACAAAGTGCCTACCTAAGTGTAGAGGCAGATTCCCTGGGGCTGCTCATGCAAGGCAAGAGCCTTGGACCAAGGAGCTACTGCTGGAAG